AGATGAGATAACGTCTCGGTTACTATCACGTTGTTGTAGATGTTGTTGTTGTTGTTGAAATGTTGAATTTGTTGTTGTTGTGGTTGGTGGTGGTAGTAGTCGTCGTATATCGCTGACGATTTCGTTGTAAGATAGAATCCCAGATTTTTTAGAAATTTTGCGGTAGACGATGTTGCTGTTGTTAACAATTTGGGATGAAAAGTTGTCGCTGCTGTTGCTGCTGCTGCTGACGATTTTGTAGCGATGGCTGTTAAATTTGTTGCAACTCTTTCGATGAGGCCTGTCATGATGTGTGTCGCTTTTTGAGTCGCAACATTATTCGCGGCGCCTTATAAAATCAACGCTGAAATCCTCCAACACGATTTGTTGCTAATGTTGATGTTGTTGTTTTTTTTATTTGTTGTTCCTGTTGTTGTCTTTTCCGTGTTGTTATTAATGTTATTGCTGGTCTTAGCGTTACTATAGTGATGTCAGAAATATATACATTAGTTGGAAAAATGCGTTTTTCTATTGCAAATCCAGTTGCAAACATTAGTTGACAAAATTTTGTTGTTGCTGTTGCTACTGTTGTTGTTGTTGCTGTTTTTTGTTGTTATTTAGTAGTTTGGTCAAAATATTTTAATCTGTATAAAATGGGAAAAAATTAAAATCTGACAATCATAATAAACAAAACCCTAATCAGTTGAAATGGTTTTATAAATTTTTTTTAGAAGAATTGTCATCATCATCATCGACATCATCATGTCATCATCTTCATCAACATCATCTTCTTCATCCTCATCATTACCAACATCACCATCATCTTCATCGTCGTCGTCGTCGTCTTCCATGAAACGCCAACAACGGCAACAACAACACTTGTCTCTTCCTTGAACGAACACACTTGTTAACTCTTTTTTTAAAAATGGCTATAATAGTAGTAGTAATAGTAGTAGTAGTAGTAGTAATAGTAGTAATAGTAGTAGTAGTAGTAGTAGTAGTAGTAATAGTAGTAGTAGTAGTAGTAGTAGTAGTAATAGTAGTAGTAGTAGTAGTAGCAGTAGTAATAGTAGTAGTAGTAGTAGTAGTAGTAGTAGCAGTAATAATAGTAGTAGTAGTAGTAGTAGTAGTAATAGTAGTAGTAGTAGTAGTAGTAGTAGTAATAGTAAAATTAGTAGTAAAAGTAGTAGTAGTAGTAGTAGTAGTAGTATTAGTGGTAGTAGTAGTAGTAAAATTAGTAGTAAAATTAGTAGTAGTAGTAGTAGTATTAGTAGTAGTAGTAGTAGCAGCTTTAGTAGCGATAATAATTACTATGTTATAATTTTGATATGTTTAACACACGTATGTAAGTATGCATGTATGTATGTATATATGTATGTATGTGTGTATGTGTGTGTATGTATGTATGTATGCATGATTGTATGTATAAATACCTTTTCAAATACCAATATTCCCTGAAGCTTTAGAATTGAAAGCACAGAGCACAGTTTAATTGATTCACTAAATTTGTTTTACGATCAACATGGCCGTCGTCGTCACCAATTCATCCATTCATTCATTCATCCATTCATTCATCTACTATTTTATTCATTCATCCATTCATTCATTCATTCATCCCTTCATTCACGCTGCACTTTTTTAATTTGGAATTAATTTAAATTTTTTCATATAGTAAATTTTTTCTTAATCTAATTTCACGATCCACCGATCCTAACTGAGCTTATGTTTATCGAGAAAAATTCTCATGTCCTGTTTTTGTGAAAATACGGTTTTATTCTTTCTTTATTTCAATTTTTACATTCATTCATTCGTTCGTTCGTTCGTTCATTCATTCATTCGTTCATTCATTCATTCATTCGTTCGTTCATTCATTCGTTCGTTCGTTCTTCGTTCATTCATTCATTCATTCATTCATTTATTCATTCATTCGTTCGTTCGTTCATTCGTTCATTCATTCATTCATTCATTCATTCATTCATTCATTCATTCATTCATTCATTCATTCATTCATTCATTCATTCATTCATTTATTCATTCATTCGTTCGTTCATTCATTCATTCATTCATTCATTTATTCATTCATTCATTTCCGGCACTCACGTGACCCTTGAAACTCTATTTCCTCCATGCTCATCATTCAGCGCTCATTGTACTTAACTTTTTGCCGCCATTTTGCCATTTAAATTTTTGATCCATTCATTCACTTTTCTGTTTAATCACCAAACATCTATCATCCGTCCATCGTCTATCCATTCATTCGTCTATCTATCCATGCTTCAATCCATTCATCTGTCCATCCATCCATCCATCTATTCATCCATCCATCTATTCATCCATCCATCTATTCATCCATCCATCTATCCATCCATCCATTCATCCATTTATCTATCCATCTATCCATTCTTCTATCCATCCATTCACTCATTCACTTTTGCCAATTTTTTCGCCTTATTTTCAACTTTTATAAAATGTACGTGCATTTCTATTTTGGGTTTCAACTTCTTACTTCACACCGGATGTAGGCTTTTTTCATTGATTGCCTTCATTCATTTTTAATTCATTCTCTCCATCTATTTACCTTTCATTCTTTTACTTATATGAATGAAGGAATGATTGAATGGACAGAAATTTATAAATAACAAATAAAAGGTTAAAAGAATGAATGAGTTAATGAATGAATGAGTGAATGAATGAGTGAATAAATGAATGAATGAATAAACGAAAGAACGAAAAAAAGAACGAACGAACGAACGAACGAACGAACGAACAAACAAACAAATGAACGAAATATACGAAAGGAAGAGTAAATAAAATGAAGGTAGATTGAAAAAAGCTGCTTATTTTACTAAACGTTGAATTTAGATACTTGCCTGTATGCTTGTTTGTTTGTTTGTATGCATGTTTGTACGTATGCATGTTTGTATGTATGTATGTTTGTATGTATGTTTGTATGCATGTGTTTGTGTGTGTGCGTGCGTTTGTGTGTATTTCTCGAAACAAAGTAAGCTACTTAAATCATACATGAAAAGAGGCATGTTTTTAATCACTCTCATTAAATTCACCACCACCATCATCATCTTCATCATAGTCGTCATCGTCATCATCATCGTCATCATCATAGTCATCGTCATCATCATCGTCGTCATCATCATCATCATCATCCGTCCTAGACATCATTGATTTGTTTTTTAAGAGCACATTTCGCGAGTTGATGGCCAGAGATGATGATAATGATGACGACGACGATGATGATGATGATTCTCATAACGGTACAAGTCATGAGTCATGATGATGATGACGACGATGACGATACAAATGCTGGTGATGATGATGGTGGTCATTTTTTTTATTTATCATCACCATCATCATCATCTGGGAGCAATCACCTTTTAATGGAGTTGCATGAATTGCCTTCAAAGAAAAAGGACAATTATCATTATCATCATCATCATCGTCATCATCGTCGTCGTCGTCATCATCATCATCATCATCGTCGTCATTATTATCATTACAATTATTTCAACATCATCAACAACATCATCATCATTTTCGTCGTCATCATCAGTACCATTCTTCCTTTCGCCATAGAGACAAACTTAACAACAAACGTACAAGATAATATACAAACATACATACAAACATACAAAGAAACATACAAACATACATACAAAGAAACATACAAACATACATACAAAGAAACATACAAACAAAGGAAAAAACAATGGAGCAAACATATTTAAATAGCGCGCGCAAGGTTAATCAAACATAGCGAACAAACATGGGATGACGTTTAAATTTGTTTATACAATCACACTCATACGCGCATACACACGCACACACACACGCACACACGCACACACACACGAACGTACAGACAAGTAGATACATAAACTTACCATCACACTCATATACGCATATGTATGTATGTTTGTGTTTGTTTGTGTGTGTGCGTGTGTGTTTGTTTGTTTGTGTGCGTGTGCATTTGTTTGTGTGCGTGTGTGTGTGTGATTTAGTTAGTTTTTCAAAGCGAAAGACAGACAAACGAGCAAATGATCCTTTTAATTTACGCGTTTCGCCATTAAACATCTGAAACATCGTAGTAAAATAAAAGCAACTGACAAGTGAAAAACAAGACGATCCTTCATGTTTCCAGGCATGTTTGCTTGTTTTTGTATGCGTTTATGTTTGTATGTATGTATGTTTGTATGTTTGTTTTGTATACTGTTTTGTATTTTTGTGTATAGCTATATATATTTGTGAGCTGGTCATGCTTTTTTTATTTTTAAATGAATTCAAATAAACTTCAAATGAAATACAATTAAATCTGATGCTTGTTGTATAATTGCTCGCATAATAATAAACTTAAGATGAAATTGTTTGTAATTGTAGATATGTGTGTGTGTGTGAGAGAGAGAGAGAAATAGAAAGAGAGAGATAGAAAGAAAGAAAGAAAGAGAAAAGAAAAAGAGAAAGAGAAAGAGAGAAGAAAAAAGAGAGATAGAAAGAAAAAGTGTTTGTGTGTGTGCGAGTGTTTGTTCATGTGTGTTTACTTGTTTATGTGTGTGCTTGCGAGTGAGTGTGTGAGTGAACATGATGCTAACGTGTGCAAAAATATGCTTAGTTACTTGGATGAGTGTACGTTGAAATGTTTGTGCATTTGTCTCCTTGATTTGTCACTTTCCCGCCACGCCACGCCACGCCACACCTCGCCATGCCACACCTCGCCACACCACACCACACGACAGCGTGCCACGCGTTTGGAGAAGCATTTATTTTTTCCACTTAAATTATTCTTGGAAATAATTTTTAAAGGTGAAAAAGTTTATTGGAAGAAGATGGCGAGGCGGTTAAATTAAATCAAACGCAAGAAATTAAAAAGGAGTAGTTGTGGCAAATCTTTTATTTTTTTTTAGATCTCACTGAAATTGTTATCACGCACACATCCCACACGTACCCCCACACACACCGACACACACCTACACACACCTACACACATCTGCACACACCCACACAGAAAAAGATAAAGTGAGAGAGAGGGAGAGAAAGAGAGGGAAGGAGAAGGAGAGAAAAATACCGAAACACAAAATACACAACTGAGTACTTGCTTTTATTAGTTCAAAAAAAAAACCAAAGATCAAACAAAACATTTACTCAAGCCAACGTAAGATACATAAACAAAACGTATACAAACTAAACACATACATACACACACACAGACACACACACACACACACATGCAAACACACACAAACAATATACACACACGCACAAACATACATACCATACATGCATACAAAATCATAGGTATAATAATGTGAGATAATTATTATCTTTTGAACTCAAACAAGCAAAAATTATTGATACATATTTTTCCTCATTAATTATTGTTATTATTATTATTATAAGTAGTAGTAGTAGTAGTAGTAGTAGTAGTAGTAGTAGTAGTAGTAGTAGTAGTAGTAGTGGTAGTTTTCGTTGTTAATATTTCATAAAGATAGGAGATTTTCGGTACTCTTTTTTCTACTGAATTACTTCATTCATTCATTTATGTCACAGTTTCATTTCTAATTCATTCATTTATTTAGCTTTTTATTCCTTCGTTCATTTATTTGTTTATTCGTTCATTCGTTCGTTTGTTTGTTCGTTCGTTCGTTAATAAACCAGTGATCAACTCATCATTTCCAACACCTCTAACAATCTATGCGTCCATTCATTTATTTATTTATTGACTCATTCATCCATTCGTTCATTCATTCCTTCATTCGTTCGTTCATTCATTCATTCATTCATCCATTCAGTTGTTTCATTCATTCATTCATCCACCCAATCCTTCATTCACTCTTTCAATCAGGTACGTCTGAGGTCGCACGCACTCAAACACGCATACAGATAAGCGTAACAACAACAACAACAATAATAATATCATAATAATAATAATAATAATAATAATATAATGTCATAATAATAGCATAACAATAGATATACACTCACACCTTCAAAGGTAAATGTATGCATACTTTCTTCTAAGTTCACGAGCAATTAAACCTTGTTAAAGAAAAACTGTAACAACAACAACAACATTAGCAACAACATTTGCAGCTACAACAACATCCACATCAACAACATAAGCAACAACAACTTTAGCAACACCAACATTAGCAACACCAACATTTACTGCAACAACATCAGCAGCAACAAAAACAACATCAGCAGCGACAACATCAACAAAAACAACAACAACATCAGCAACAACAACAACAACATATGAACTTTACTTGCATCGCGGTGTTCATGTTCTACTTCCACATCACGTTCTATGGAATGGAAACGCATAGTACAGAGTGAAAAAAAAGCACCTACACAAACATACAAACAAGCACACAGACACATACAAACAAACAAACAAACACATACACATACATACTGTACAAACATACATACATACGGTACAAACATACATACATATGTATACATACATACATACATACATACATACATACATACATACATACATACATACATACATACATACATACATACATACATACATACATACATACATACATACATACATACATACATACATACATACATACATACATACATACATACATACATACATACATACATACATACATACATACATACATACATACATACATACATACATACATACATGTACATATCGACAGACACACAAACATAAGCATACCACACATACAAACATATGCACACACATATAAGCACACACAAACATACAGACTCACACGAACGAACACACGTGCGTATTAGCGCTAGTTGGATATTCTTGTCTATATAACGTAATGTTACTAATTAGTGGTTGTGTCTCTGTTATCATCACTACCATCATCGTCATCGTCATCATCATCGTCTTCATCATCATCATCATCATCGTCTTCATTATTCCTTCATATTCATTCTCTTACGTTTTTAGATTTTTATTCATTTATTTCTGTCTCGTTCCATCCTTCCATCTGGTTTTTTTTATTTTGTTTTTGTTGTCTTTTCATGTTTTTTTTCTTGATAGTTTTTTTGGTTTGTTTTTTTCACTTGGTTATATCATTGAGAGGGAAAAAGAGAGAGAAAGAAAGAGAAAAAAAAGAGAGAGAGGAAAAGAGAGAGAGAGAGATAAACACAAAAGAAAATGAAGAGAAAAAAATAAAGAGAGAGAGAGAGAGAGAGAGAGAGGAGAGAGATTAAGGAGAGATGTTATCTCAATTTCGAAGTTTTAGAAACTCGTTTTATTCGATATTGATTTTGTTTCAAATACTGTTTTGTTGGCGTATGTGTGTGTATGTGTGCGTGCGTGTATGTGTGTTTGTGTATGTGTGTCTTTGTGTATGTTTTGCATTCATTCATTCATTGCATGTTTTGTAAACTTGACCAGAAACGAAGGGTCATTTCAGGATACAAAAACAAAGAACTAACAATACAACAAAACGAAGAACAAAAACAGAACAAAGAACAAAAACAATACAAACAATAACAAAGAACAAACAAACAAAGAAAAAAAATCAGAAGCAAATCATTAGACTTCGGTGCCAAAACGCGAGAGAAATGTAATGATATCTACACAGGATAACTCGCTTTCATCTCAAATTTGATCTAATTATCTCATAACTTATTTATTATTTGCTTGTTGGTTTGTTTGCTTGTGTGTCTGAACGTTATTAATATTTATTTACTTATTTGTTTGTTTATTGTTTAATTCGATTTTCGTTCATTAAACCCTAAATTCAACCCTCTTTCCATACATCCATCTATCCATCCGTCCGTCCATCCATCAATCCATCCATCCATCCATCCAACCGTCCGTCCGTCCATCCGTCCGTCCGTCCGTCCGTCCGTCCATCCATCCATCCATCTATCCATCCATCCATCCATCCATCCATCCATCCATCTATCTATCCATCCATCCATCTATCTATCCATCCATCCATCCATCCATCCATCCATCCATCTATCCATCCATCCATCTATCCATTCATTCATTTTTATACTCATTATTATATACAAATTATTAGTCATATTTATTTATTGACTTTTTCATGCTGGCACACTCATTTTTATTGTTATGTTGATTGCGTGGGATGTATCGAATGTATTTTGTCCGTGCCAATGACCTAGGCATACAAACATAAAGATAGAAGTGTGTCATTGCCTGTTTGTTTGTGTGTGTCTGTTTGTGTGTGTGTGTGTGTGTAACAACATCAACAACAACAGCAACAACATCAACAACATCAAAAATAACATCAACAACAAAGGCATCAACAACAAAGGCATCAACAACAACAGCAACAACATCAACAACAAAGGCATCAACAACAACAGCAACAACATCAACAACAACGACATCAAGATCAACAACAACGACATCAAAAACAACAACATCAACAACAACAACATCAACAACAACAACATCAACAACAACAACATCAACGACATTAACATCAACAACAACATCAACAAAAAATGCATCTTTGCAGTGCTGATCGATGGATTGATCCTAGACGTATAATGATATTTTTATATCCAATGCGCTTTTTCACTATATTTTAAAATATACCCTTTCTTTCTTTCTTTCTCTCTCTCTTTTTCATTGTCCTCCTTGCTTTTCCCTCTCTCTTTCTGTTTGTCTTTCTCTCTCTTTTTCTTTTTCTCTCTCTTTCTCTCTTGTTTAATTCCCATCCTTTTTTTATTATTATTTTTTTATTTCTATCTTTCTCTATCCTTTCTCTCTTCCTTTTCTCCTTTTTTTCAATCTTAAACATTCATTACTTCTCTCTCTCTTTCTCTCATTTTTTCTTCTTTCATTCTATTTCTTCTTTTCTCTCTCTCTTTCTCAGTGTGTGTTTTATTTTCAGTTTCGTCATTAGCATCTACCATTGTTTCACTTTCTTTCAATTTTCGATCATCCCTTCCGATTTCTCTTCTCTTGTGTGTAAAAGACCAACCGTGCAAGCATACTCGTACACACACACACATACAAATATAAATGTACGCTCAAATACAACACATACACACACACACACACACATTCACACAAAATACTGAATATACAACAATATACAACGATATACATACACGCCAACAACAAAACTAAACAACACACATACACATACATACGTACACACATACATACACATGCAAAATATAAAAACACACATACATACATGCATACATACACACGCACATACACATGCACAGTGCACACCTATCGACGCACCTCAAAAAGCTTAGATTTTTATAATTCAAAAGTTGCTTCAAATTAACTAATTATCAACATACGCACTCATTTCAGTACGAAGCCCACGATACCGAACAGTGTGTATGTTTGTGCGTGTGTGCGTGTATGTATGTATGTATGCATGTATGTATGTATGTATGTATGTATGTATGTATGTATGTATGTATGTATGTATGTATGTATGTATGTATGTATGTATGTATGTGTGTGTGTGTTTATGTGTGTGTGAGTGTAAATTGTGGGTTAAAGTTAATTAAT